GCAGTTATTTTTTCCATGAATCAAACAAACGAACAAGCAGCATTTTATTGCCTCTCTTAATGCATGGAAGGTTCTTTATTTAGTGCAGCTAGATCGATTATTAGTGATTAATTGTAGGCGGTTCGTCCGATGTCATCGGTATCATTTTGAGAATGTCCTACTGCAGCGCTTGTGTTCTTGTGCAATTACCTTAATTTCTTGGTAAGTATAGGGAACTGCTGTTGGCAATATTGTCGTTTTAGATCTTGTCATACATTGAGCTTTCACTCTGACGGGAATTGTTATTTGACTTTAGTGTTTCTTTAAAACAAGGCCAAGAAATTTTCAAACAGCTACACACAATCTCTCTCTCCCCTCTCTTTTTCTTTCACGACAGTGTTTAAAGACCCTGAATATTAAGGGGAGATGCTACTCGAAGACTTTTTTTTTCATATTCACCCTAGAGCAATAAAACTTGAGCTGTATATAGAACATTTTATGCAGATTTCAAATAAATAATTACTTTTTTTGCTAGTTGCATACTTTTAGCTCTGCAACATGACAAAGTGAAAACCTTAAGCCTTCTGTTTCCCCCCCCCCCTTTTTCTCATCACTAAACTTCTATAATTTTTACCATAGTTCATAATGTTTCAAATAAAGTGTAGAATGCAAGTGACTAATTTGGAAGTGCATACAAATTATCTAATAGACGTGAGAAAGTTTACATTTGTCTTATCCTAGTAAAGGTTTACTTAAAACTTTTATTATATAGTAGATATATTGAAATTTAAACTAGATAATTGCATTTGCCATACTACGGTAAAAATTTAAGCGAAATTTCATGCAGATTTGAGCGCAAAAATATCCGTAAAAGGAGGAGTAATTTGAAAAAAAAAAAGGGCAAAATGTGTTTTGAAAAAAAAAAAAAAAACGAGTTCTAAAGTTAAAATTGAATTTTCATATATAAGAGATGTCATCAAATGCAATGAAATTCGCACACCAAAAAGAACAGTTCTTGTAGTGGCCACTGCCACTAAAATGCTCCAGCACCATAAGTTTGTCGCTCGCGGCTCTTTCGAGCTGACTCCTCACAGGCGTTTCGCTCACAGACAGGACCATGAAATGCTTCTTCCGCTCCATCTGGCAGAGCCTTGTGCCGACTGCAAGCTAGGTAGAAGTTCGACAAGACTTTGAAGTCTAAACCAGATTAAATCCAGTGTCGAGAGACACAACAGCGCCAATGCCATTTTGTGATTGCGTTTGGGCCATGTACCGTCATACATAATGGCAATGTCGTGCCCACTAACTTCCCTCGCTGCGAGTTCCTTTAATCTCACAAGATTGGCACTGATGTCATCCATTACGACATTATGGACTTTCCAGCTGATGGCTGTAAATTACTTTTGATGCACTGGCTTTTGCAAGCCAACAACTACCGCAAATCGGACCAGCTGTTCGTAGCCCATTCCTACAGAGCGCTCTGCCAGAACAGCGTTTAAGCGTGAGCTGTAGCTTTCTTGATTCATAATGGACAAGACATAGGCCCCGCAAGTAGGCTTCACAGCATATACAGGTGCGCAGCGGCCAATGGCGGTCCCCAATCCGTACCACGTGATTTAAAAACCAGTCACGATGCCTAAAAATATGGCAAAAGTGTTCTTCTTTTTATTATTTCGTGCACTGCATCAGCATGAGAAACAGTCGTTATTTCAAGAGTGAGGCTCGGCTCTGCCTCATGCGATCAGAAATGGCGAGCGGCGGTGCATTATCGGCGGCAAGGTGCTCGAAGACTGCACACTTTTGGCCTTTTAACAGCCGCCTTGCGCTTTTTAGACACATTTATAAAGAATTTCCAGTTCACTCTCGACATAGATTTCTTTTTCAGAACAGTAGAGGTACTACAGTCAATCCTGGATATATTGAACTATAAGAAGATAGCGAAATAGTTCGGTATATTAAGAATACTAAGTAAAATTATGCATATTTAAGGCCTAAGTTGTAGAATTTCAGGCCTCTGAGATCTTTACAAGAGCTAAGATAACGATTCGCTCAAAGCTTGGTTAGCAGCGGCAGGGAAGGCATTGGCACATTCCTAACCGCATGGCTACACTTTCGCGGCTCCGGCAATGGCAGCCGAAATCTCAGCATCGATGCAGTCAGAAACAGCAACATCATCATCTGTACCGACGCAGTCGCTGCTGTCCAAAATGGTGCCTGTAAATGCTGATAAGTCGCAGAATTCCTTGAGGCACTATATGCTGCTGTTAGTGGTCATGACGCGCCCGAAGTCATCACCTGGCCTGCAAGGAATGTTTAAAACACAGTGTTTTACTTGATGTCGCTCCAAGCGCCAGTTATAATTTTTGTCGCTACGTGTGGGTCAACGTTCATTTAAACTCCCAAATGAGGATTTATCAGGATCGAGGCGAGAAGTGCACAAGACCACAAGGCGCAAAAGACGCAACGCCGAGTTCTTTCGAGTTTTCACCGTCGAAATGTTGGAGATGTCGATGTCACTATGGCTTTGTAGCTGGCAGCCGCTGCTTTTAGTGGATTTGATGAGAAATGATAAAAAAAAAGTATAGCCTTCGAGACACGTGTTTTGAAACCGAAAACACTAAAAATACGTGACAAGGTAGCACATCTTGAAGGCCACGCTTTTCAGGCTTGCATGCCATTGTGTGCTAAGGACAAGGAAGGGAATGCGAACCACATGCGAACATTGCACTGAGATCGCCCAGTCACTTCCAGTTCTCATTTCAGTGCCCTCGGCAATCGGTCTCTTGGAAAACATCATGTCCGCGTGCTAAGACTTGCACAGATGTAGCAAGTGCCGCGCAACGAACCAGATCAGCACGATGAAATAACACCTGTTTTTTTCGTCGCCTGCACGCGAATAAGAATCGGAACTTGTTAGAATGCGACCTTTAATTGATCAATATTGGCTAGGTAAGATGCACTTTCTGGACTTCGGCGCGGGGCAGCATTCGATATAGCGGATGTCCCACTGTGTAGGAGTTCAATATACAGGTGGACCCAACCCATACTTTTGCATGGGAAGTTCAAATGGATTTTTCCACTGTTTGATATAGCCAATTATTCGATATATCTGAATTCAATATATCCGGGATGGACTGTAATCTTGTCAAAACAGGTGAAACCAATAAATGGGTAATTTTTCATAAAACTCGCATTTTTCGACCCGCATCTGCCCTAATAAGGTTAGGTTAGGACACCACTTCTCGACTCGCTCGCAAGGCACGTCTGACCAGGTAATGACGGTGCACCCCCGTTAGCCCGGCTTAGGCACGGGTTATCTATCGCGGGGATGACACAACTTCTAGACAAAAAAATATCTTATGTGCCGTTTCTATGGCAACCAACGGGCTCGCGGACAGTGCCGATGTTCGCAGCACATGGAGTTTGTTGGCATGTGGAAAACACGTTACACGCTTGCAGCTTATGTTCCTAAAATGCCATAGCCACTTTTGCTATTTTCTGCATAGCATTATTTGCTACAGCAATGCATTTCTGGCTTTTAAGTTATGGCGTTCCGCCGATTGGCATCTGCTGCGGTCAGCGGACCGACGGGCATGCGGCGTTGTTACTTTATTATGTCGATATTGTCTCTCAAGCGTCCTAGCTTAATCAATACACATTTTACACCATGGTTTAGATTGAGGATTTGCCTGCATGGCTTTTGATTGATGACTCAAACTGTGGGTGGCCAAGGAGGCCTTCATTTCTCCCTCAAGTTAGCGCAGCTAAGAAAATTTTGAGGCTGGTCGGGCATTTTGGTGCAGCGTGTTGCGATTTCAGCAGCTTTCTTGGTTTTGGCGCAGCTGGGTGCAAAAATTGGAAATTGTATCAAAATGGCGCGATAGGCTCTGCTGTCGCACCCTTGCATATGCTGTAGATGGGCACATTGGTTGCTCTGCTGCAAACAAGTTGAGCAGTGTTCCTTCCAGTGAGGACCACTGCCCAAGTACTAAATGGGAATTAGGTTCATTTGATGTAAGCCCTTCAGGCAAGGATTTAATATTTATAATTTGGGCTCGAGATTAGTACTCAGAGCAACTCTGCACAGTTGCGCATGGCATGATGACGTTTACTGCAAATAGGTTACATTGGTTTGTTGTGCACATTTTTCTATGCCTGTAAAGGATAGTATACCAATACATCCATTTTTTTATTTTGACACCCTTTCTTTTCTTTTTTTATTTTAATTCAACATGAAGGACGAATGCATCTGTACTTGTGAAAAGCATTCTGTTTTGCCGTTTCGTGGTCTCGCTGAGAAATTATGGTGCAATATTTGTTTTTGTTATTTGTAGTAAACCTAAATTTTAAAACATCTGCCCTGTGGGGTTGCATTTGACTGAAAATGTTTATCCTCATAAAGGCCAAGTGGCAAGCTGACTGTATTGCACAAGAGTCTTGTTTGTTTTTATTTAGTGGTTATACTTTCACTGGATGCAGCGTACAAACTCTTACAGGGCAAGTTTTCGCAAAAGAAAAGTTGTGTTTACTGTCTGCAGGCCATCTGTTCTCATCACATGAAAATTTAAGCGACCCACCAAGGTGGTTTTGTGGTCATGGTTGCAGGTTTGATTCCTGTACGCGGGAGCCGCATTTTTATTAGAGGCCCGTGCACTTAGATTCAGCTGCACATTAAAGAAGGCCAGATGATGAAAATTTCCAGAGCTCTCCACTGTGGTGTCCTTGATAGCATTGTAGTTTGGGAATGTAAAACCCGAACGATTCTACATATGATCGTTGTGAAAATTTGAAAGTTAGAAAAAAAATTATTGGCCACAATTGAGACAGGGCCGTCAGAGTTTATTGCTTCAAAGTGATATTGTCGTGGAGGCAAGGTTTGGGAGTAGAAAGTTCACAAATGTGGTTTTTGTTTTGCACACTTTGAGTAGAAGCTATTTAGTCGCTATCTTCTATTTAACTGGTGTACCTGGCTGTGCCATTTTCCCTGCACTTTGTGAAAGATCTTTTTCAATCTGTTTCAGAGCCTTCAGAGGAATCGTTTTTGTCAAGGGAAGAGGTATGTGAGCCATAACATTGCTGTAAGCATAGGATTGATGTACTATTATTAGTTCATAGATTCTGGGGGCTTGTGAAAAAAAGATTAAAACCAGTTTAAAGTGGGAGGTGCACTGTACTTCTCAGAGTGTAAACTCTATTTGTCACTTTCAAAATGCATGCTATATAAAAAGTCAGGAAAATCGAATGGCGAAGCCTGTAAGCGTCCAAAATTTTTTAATACTTTTTAATACACTGACTCTATGGGGAAACTTGCAATACTACAGATGAGTCCGGGAAATCAGGCTTGTCCAGAATTTCGGGCATCCAAGATTTTGGATGTTGACTGTATATACAGTCGAACCCCGCTACAACGAAACTGAAGGGGCACGGAAAAAATTTTGTTTAAGCGAAAATTTTGTTGTATTGAAATCGAAAAAATATAGCCAATCTGAACTATCAATCCAAAGGAATGTTTATTCTCAAAATTCAAAAAAGTGTCTGCTGCTCTTTATTCTATCCCAGCAGTGTCACAACGCGATTCTCACCAATGCATAGCGAGGCCACGGTGAAAAGCACGCTGAAACAATGACTACAACCGCTTTCATGAACGAACCAAACAGTTGCATTAACACGTATACACCGGCAGCTGTCCTCTGTCAAAACACCGAGATGGCCGCAGGGTATCGTGGAGCAGTGACTTTTGTCTTATTTTATCCCATTCTTATCATTCATCACTCGCACTAGCTGATTTTGTTAATAATGCGGACTAACAGCCACTCTGATTAGTTACCACACTGGCCAAGCGCGAACAAAATGATAAGCATTGGAATCGGAAAAGGCATCATTCCACAGATGCACCCAGCAGCTGCACGAAAGAAACCATGAACTAAGCAACTGAGCTTCAGCTTCGGATCATCTGAGGCTATACAGTAAACCCAGTTTTTAACATTTTGATGCATTTTCAGAAACTGAAAATACATCGACGAAGTTTAAAACATGCGTTGACACCACCAGAAACCATCGCTGTTCAGCAAGCATGGCCGCTGCCATTGCTCGATAGCGATGGCAATGAAACTGCTCTTTTTTTGGCAAAGCAGGGCAGTCTCGTTGTTATCGCTATCGAGCAATGGCGGTGCCCATGCTTGCTAAACAGCGATGCTTTCTGCCAACACATGTTTCATACTTCGTCGACAAATTTTCAGGTTCTGAAAATGCATCAAAATGTTAAATATTCGGTTTACTGTATAGCAATAAATATGTGAACCTGAAATCGCATCATGAAATTTCATTGAAGCAGGACGGCAGAAGAAAAAGTGTTCATTGTGGCGACAATATTTATGCATTGACTTCTATGGACTGCTGACGGGGAACCGTGAATTTTTCGTTATAGCGGGAATTTCATTGAAGTGGCTTTCGTTATAGCGGGGTTCAACTCTATATCTATCGGATTGTTTCCAACTCATTAAAAGGTTATGAAGTAGGCTGTACCTACATCAATACATAGCTTCAAACAATATTTCCAGGGGCTGTATTCTGAAATGATTTCAAAAAGTGACAGTGGCAAAAGCATCGCCTTTGATGTGCCATTGAGCAAAACTGGAAATTGGCCAGTTTTGCTCAATGGCTATTGAGCAAAGCTGGAAAAGTGCGGTGTGCCACCTAGTACAGTCGAATACACTTTTAATAATCCCAGATATAACAATCTATTGCTTATAACGACCTTAGTTCGGTGAACTTATTATTTTCTTATGCTAGCCATTGAAACTGCATCCATGTATAATGAACATTTTTCAAGGCCTCCTACATTTATAACTACACTTCAGACATGGTCACAGTAGAAATATGGGGAATACAAAGTGAAACAAAGTTAAAAAGCACGAAAGAGGTGCATGCTCGTGTGGCCCGCAGCGTCTCTCATAATCATATGGTGGTTTTGGGACGTTTAACCCCACAGATCAATCAATCAGTCGTGTGCCCCGCTGCATGTCCACACGCGACGACGATGAAAATGGTAGGAAACCTGCGCCAATTGTGCCACCCTGCGCTATACTGCTCCAAAAGGGTATTCTTTGTCTAATTTGCATCATTGCTGCGCCAAAAAGTGGTTTTAGAACCGAAAGTAATGTTGACAACACATATCGTGTGCAGATATTATGTGATGGTCGCCATCTTGTACACTTGCGCAGCTGCAAAAGCACGGATTTGACCGATCAATTATTGTGACTTCCGCTCTAGAGCAGTGGTGTGTTTTCTGGTAACTATTGGCAACGGAGCAAGGCGATGTGGCGACTACTGAAAAGTGCGCCAGTATAACTTTTCGGCGACAAAAAGCCTACATGTGTAGTGTAGCGCCGCTTAAGCCTACTGCAAGCTTTTAATAGCTGCTGACTACCTGAGAGTGCAGAGGCGCCGATTGCTGCCGCCTCAATCGTTGTGCGAGACCATGTTCAGCGCGCGCCGCTTCACAGAAACTAAAGCAGCTCGCTGTTGTGAGGTTATGGGTTGTCGGGTGCTCGTTTCATGAAGCGTACATGCTTTCATGAGGAGACAATCCAAATGTGCCTCCATTCGCTGCCAAGAGCACTAGAGCATTGCTTGCAGAAAGCTCGCGGCGTCGCGTTGACACTAGAGGCTTCTCGCTGCATTTGTGCACGGTCTTAAGCGGAGTGTGAGCAAGCAGCTCGATGTAGTGTGTACACCAACTATGCGAAGCGCTGCACGCAACTAAACAGTAGACGGTCGGCTCCCTGCGACCGTACCGGGTCTCAAAAAAAGCTGTGTCAGTTCTTCTCAATAAGTAGCAGTTCGTAGTGCACATTTATCGTGGCCAGCCGATTATGTCCGTCTCGTCACTATGTTACTCGCTACGTTGGCTATGTATGCCGGACTCTATCATAGTTTTGAAATGCTCTTCGGTGTTCCACCCCGTGTCATAGTACTGTTGTACGACAATGCGTTTTGCAGTCGGTGCAGCGAACTTGGGCGCCGGGCTGTCAGCTTGGCGCGCTAGAACGAGACGCTCACTGTGCGAAGTTGCCTTTCCGCGATGGAAGAAGCGGCCCCTGGAAGCGTCGCCGAGGTCCGAAGTATTGTGTTGTGGGCGGCCACAACAATGCAGAAAACACCAAAGGACACTCTCCACGTGTAGAGCTGTATCAGTTTCCCATCTAGTCACAGCCGGTGAACACAGCCGCATTCGCTAAAGATAGAGCAAGCATGACACGAGAGTCGGGAAAAAAAAAAAAAAAAAAAAAAGGCGAGCACTTCAAATTGATTCGCTGTGATTAAACTTAGCTTGCTCCTTCGCGGCGACATCAGCGGGTCATGTGCGGCACGAAGGACATGACTCCAAAACTTCTCGGACATTTTAATGCCATGACCCTATAACTTTAGTTTTTGATTATTTTTTCAGCACGCCGCAAACGTTTGCACATGACAGTACGTGGCTGCTACTGCTAAATACCACATCAAAACAACAATTATATGCTTTCCATAAACGTCAACACTGCTTATTGATAGAGCACGCGGCTTCATGTAGGCAGAATGAGACTTACCTCGAGGCACACGTCGTACACGATATTATCACGGAGGACCCGAGAAATGCATTTCGCAGTGACTAGGGCGTTCTCGTTTTTCGTCGTCTGCTCCGCATCATAAACTTGACTAACGAGCTTTACTCCTTTGATTTGATTTGCTTCTCGGAAGTGGTTGTCCAGCTCAGAGATCTTTGTGCCCCGCAGGGGCGCCTGCGCAAGTAGGCGTTTGGTGTGTAGCGACACCACAGACCCGAGCTAACGGGGGAGTTTTGACTCCCTCCCACGCCTAGCCGTGCGTGGCTTTGCCGTGTTCGGGGAAAAGGGGATCCTGGGGGTTGAGCCAATGCTGGGCGATTGGACCTTTAAGGCCCCCCAGCAGAGGCAACACACCCCTTTGGCCCCGGCTTCACGTAGACGGCACCTCTGGGCTGACCCACCCAGGGGAAATCGGCAGTCGCCTTTTCCTATCTCTCTCTCCCTATATCTTCGTCTTTTGTTCTCACTTTACATCTTTCCTGTCTTCTCCTCACTTCATTTTACTTCCAATTTTTCCTGGCGGCAAGGGTTAACCTTGTGTGGCTATCTAAACTAGGGTAAACCATATTGGGTTATATTAACTGCGTACTGCTGGCGTTGCGCAGACATGCCCACATGCTCTGCCACGTCCTCTCGTTGAACTCCGTGGTGGGTGGTAGGCGCCGTTCCCGAAAAATACACATTTTCTCATGGGATCCCCGACCCCCTCTTTAACTGATCGTGCTTCGAAAAGGGTACGCACCGATGCAACTTTCCTACTTTGGCCCAAAAACAGAGAAACTTTCCCAAAATACCATGTCCTCCACTGCGAACAATCATCTACAAAAGCTAGAGCAATCTCACCCTTCCTTGTGGCCAAGTGCTTGAGAGAGATCATTGGAACCGGTTATAAGGCCACGAAGATGGCAAGTGGAGGTCTGCTTCTCGAATTAAAAGACAAGGAACAGTACAATAAACTCTCGCACCTCGTGGCCTTTGGTAACATCCCTGTCTCTGTGAGCGCACACCGTACCATGAATACAGTGAAGGGCGTGGTATCGGACGAAGATTTGATGACACTGAATGAAGAAGAGCTCTTTGATGGATGGAAGGATCAAGGTGTAATACAAGTCCAGCGAATCAAAATCAGACGTAACAACAATGAAATAGCAACAAAGCACTTGATACTCACCTTCAACTCAACCACTTTACCCGAGACTCTCGAAACTGGCTATGTAAAACTCCATGTCCGACCCTTCATTCCAAACCCGAGGCGTTGTTTCAAATGCCAGCGATTTGGTCATGCATCCCAGAGCTGCCGAGGACAGCTGACGTGTGCTAAGTGTGGCACAACTGGCCACAGTGCTGATGAATGTAGTCACGAAGAGATCCCCTGTGCAAACTGCGAAGGTAGCCACCCCGCATACTCCAGAGCGTGCCCAGCCTGGAAAAGAGAAAAAGAAATAAT